CATGCATCCTAACTCATACGTAGTACACAACACCCCGCGGTAGAAATCTGAGCGAAATATAACCACGACAATCAAAAGTATCAATGAACCGATCTTTTAATGTACGACACACAGACTGGATATAAATACTATTATTTATTTATCCCCAAAATGCATTTTTTTTATTTATTATAATTATTACATTAAACGTGCACGTGCTCCGTTCTGTGTCAATTTAGTCATGGCTTTGATTTGATTTGATTTGATTTGAAGACGCGTCTAATTAGCAATTATATACGATTTTCCGACTGAATCTTATTAAAATTACTGATTCTACAACTTATTAATAACACATATACCATCAGTTTAAAATAAAAAATAAAATAAAACTTTAATTTTATTTATAGCCACAAAGCCAACAACGAAACGTAATCATATTGACTATAGGAAACGTGAACACAGCCAACACCAGTGTAGGTCAAACGCACGAAAAGTTATCCTTCGTTTGGGCATTATCTCATTTTCTCTCAAGATGTCTTGACTATTTTGTCACCAGTGATAGTTGAGGTCATTCATTATTGAGATTGGGAGCGAGACTGTTTGGAGGTTAACGTATTTTGATGTTTCGAGATCGTAATACTGTTAATATTCCCCACAACGTACCGGGTTTGCCAAAATCTTAGATACCTGTCTGCGTACATGAAAGATATTGAAGTGTGTATGGAGCCAGTGACGCGAAGACTAGGGCACTGTAGTCTCGGCGTGGTAAAAAAACGAGTTCCAGTGACGATTACGTCACGGGTTGCTGACTATTCTTGTCAGGCTAGAAATGAGCATTCACATAATTCATTTCAACGTGTCGTGTTGATGAAATCGAAACGATTTATATCAGGATATAACATCGTTGTCTTTCACGTGTTGCAACATGTGTATAGTTGTAATGTTTTTTTTTCTTGTTTTAAGTCTGCTGCGACGACTCACTGAAACAAACAAAAACAATGTTTAAACAAATCCATATCTTTGTCATTTATTGCTTTTAACTCAATCCATGATATCATGAAATTGGGTGATTTTATGGCCATTATCTTCGCCATGCGCATGAAAGGGAGTTTACCGCGATAAGTTTCTAAATAGTCATGTGCCAATTTCAACGACCGAGGTCCCCCATCTGTCCATTTCGTGCAAGGTGATTTATCGCCGCATGAAATGCCACAAACAACTCGGGTCAATTGCGAAATCGTCCTCTTTAATAGAGCCATGGCATAGTACCTTTCTTGTTGATTGAATCACTTAGCTGCAGTGAAACAAGCACAACAAGCCATCATGTTACCAGTAATTTCGTGGCTCACTCTCTCGACAAAGACATACTGGTGTTTGTTTCCCATTGTTGACAGCGTTTGGTGTCCCCCAGCTTGAAGGTAGTACCGCTTCATCACACTAGCCCTGCCCCCTTTACAAGAAACAAACAAGTATTAGGCGTGGATTTAGAGTAAACCGCTAAGTGAATGCTTATACTGACACAGAAATGGACAAGGGACCTTGTTTAGTAAGGAGATACGTTGATATAATTAGTCGTTATTAAGGAGATTAGAGAGCTGCCAGCCTCTAAGCAATACAACGACAAAAACATACGACAGCTCTAGACATCACCGTTACACTACTTGAGAGGGGTAAATCCATTATGTCCGACTATTTTTTTTAACGTTGTGGCTTTGTCGTGGATTTTTGAGTCGAAGAATATAAAACTGTTTTGTAATTCCTCAGTCCTGCAAAAATCGTATCAATAAATTGGATAATTGTCATCTTATCTCACATGGCATTGTCACAGAGAATATAGACACTCAAACAGTTTAGACGCGACGCGGCACCTCTATAAAAGCCACCGTAACTGTTATTACATGCGTCATAAAAAAACATAAATAACAATGGATAGCGCAAAAATACATATTTACAGATGGTTCATATTCAGTGGCTGGATGAAGTCAAAAGTCGGATAACTGTTGCGCTGCTAATTGTCTCGTTTTGAATTCGGAGGGAGGGAGCAGGGCGGGTTGACGTACAGGTATACCGGTAATGACAAACAACGGATCGACAGGGCAGAGTCACGCTCGTCGTTGTTGTTGTTGTTGTGTGTGTGTACATGTTAGTGTGACCACGCTTTGCTGACTTCTGTTCAACTGGTACTCATAAAATATAGGGGGTAAAGTCAGTTGTGTGTATTTGTATTTTAATTCTCGTCTAAAAAACGTATGCAGTTTCTAGTACATATTTAACACTATAGATTAAAAAAACAGTACTTCCGAACAGTTTTTCTTTTTTTTTTTGCATTGTAATTAATGTTTGGTAAAATGAAGGTACAATGCGTACTTAAAAATGTAATTTACTGAAACGCTTTTTTTTAGTAAAAAAATTGGTTTATTGGAAATTGTCAGTAATTTGTTCATAAGTAGCATGGGTGATATAGATGTCTCAGGTAATAGGGAAATTGTGTTAATAATATTTCAGATTTAGCATTCCTATTACACTAGGATGGCACAACGCGTATTTTGGTTGACGTGGGAGCGATCATCATACACCGACTCAAAGACAAGACCGGAAATTTCCTCTGACGGCCATCAGAAAGATATGCCAGTTAATCAAAACCGACGAGAGAAAATTAGCCGGATAGAATTTTGACGACTCCGATGCGGTGCTGATCTGTGAATGGGCAGGAAACGGGGTGAATGTGAATAGGGATTTCAGGCTAAAAGTGGCAGATCTTTAAAGTATGCAACAATATATAAAACAATTGCAGGTTTACACGGATCGCGTCTTTTATTAAGGAAATCGAAGTTGGTCGATTGATTTGAGCTGCTCCGATTCAAGGAGGCGTGTGTTTAGCGGAAATACCCGCCATCACAAGCACCGAGCAGGTTCAAGTACGATAGCAATGTGTAATTTGATTAACTCTTCCCAAATGAAGGAAATTGTCGTATTCCGATTAATTGGTGTCTTTTTATTCCCTGTACTCGCTCTGTTGCTCGAAGCATATATCCGGTGGCCCGTCTTACAGCGCAATAACCTATAAGCGCGATTTGGGGTGCACCGGCAAATGATCTTGGCACTCGACCAGTATTAAGAGCTGAGTTTAATTCAACTAAAACAGTAATTGATTGGCGAAAATCTAATTGAAGTTTGACGAGACACGAGCACCTCACGGGTGAAACAGTATTACTGCCTGGAGCTTTACTTGTGTATACACCAGTCGTGGCAATTCAGCACTCCGGACTATAAAATTTAAATTATCTGTAGTCCGAAACGCTCGGCCCCTTTTTGTACGCTAGAGGTCTGCCAAGAGGTACTTGAGTCGAGTAGACCCCATTTTTCACCCCATCACCTTTCAATACATCACTGACGCCCAAATTCTTTTTTCAATGAATGGATGACAGCCAGAATGCCTGCCGCGTCCATCATTCCGACTCGACCTGTCACGGGTAGTGAAATGAACAACTTTATCAAACATTCGAGTAAGCGACTGAATCATAGTCTTCTATACTTAGATGCTTTATGCTCAAATCCCAAGTGACCTCTCCATCTTCGGTCCATGACGCTCGTGGTATTCGGCCAGCCTTCTTTGCACGTGGACGATGTAAGCGAGTAAGTTTGAGGACTGGTTTGTAATTTGTTGTGGACGATAATTGCAAACTATTGCATTTAGACAAAAAAGAATATACAAGATTACTATTTACCGAGTTGTAAAAATCGTGATTTTGTTTTTAATTTAAAATCACATTTTTCGAAAGATCATTAAT